CACCCTCACCCCCACCTCGCAGTTTCCAAGTTTCATCTGGGCCCTTGGGCCCACGCCTCACTCCTCCGCAGTCCTGCCAACTTCATTCTGTCCCAGCAGGAGGCATCCCCTTCACTCCTTCAACGCACCCCTCTTCCAATTTTTTGCTTTCAGAATACTTTCCAATGTCGCCTTTTCCTCGGAGAGTTCTAGGTTGCCTACTTGGACAATCAGATCCAAAATGTTGCTCTCCACTCTTCAGCAGAGTTCAACTGAGAATGAGTGGCACCGAGAAGCAAACACGCTTCTCTCTGGGAAAAGTGTAACAGCATTCCCTGGTCCCCACACATTTAGGAATGAATGCATGGGTTCTTCAATGTAGTTTTCTTTTTTCTGAGGTCCCTGTCATAATTACCTGCGGAAAGATCAACGCAGGAATGACATGTGTTTTAACAGCAGCTCAAGGCATCTCAGTCACCACCCTTTTTTTCTTTGCTCTTCCTTTCTCACACCAACATTTGGCCACTGTTTCCGCCTACCTCCTTCCACCCAGTCTCTCCTTCACTGCCCTCTCTCACCCCTTCCATTTCTCCTTCAAATCTGATATTGACAGACACACACCCGGGAGTAGCCCATTCATTTCCACATTGTCTAAGCCTGACTGTTTCTGTCCATCTTTGAGGGAAGAGATGGACTCCTCTCTCAAGTGTCATTTCCCAAACATCCCCACTTGTCAGTTTAGTTTCCAGAGGTTGTTTTGCATGCCACCCACTCTAGTCTCTTACAGGTTTTTAACATCCCATTTTTAAAAAAATGATCTCATTTCATATGTTCTTCCCAGCTAGAAGAAATGTTAGATACTTGGGAGAACATTTCAGGAAAAGTCACTTTACACTTACAAGAAGATGCTGACCAGGATGGATGATGAAAGAAAGACGGCAAAGCCATCAGTACATTTTCAAACCTCTTGCTTTAGAGTAGCGCTCTGAAAACCATGTAACGCTGGGACCTCATAGTGGCTTTGCAAATGGAGATTTCAAATGCCTGAGGTGGTCCAGGGGCCTAGAGACTTAACAGAGGACTAAGGGTAAAATGTGAGTTCCTTGAATTGGGACATGATGGGAAATTCAGAAGACCAGCAACCCGTGCAATGTATTCCAAACTGCCACCTCCCTTACATAAACTTTAGCTTTTAAAATATATGAATGCAAGCTTGACCTTTAGTTCATTTCCACCCTCAGTGCATTCTTACCGGAAGTTTGTTTAATTCAAGGCATAGATCTCTAACCCTGGGTGGTTTATTTCAAATGTATTGTAATTTTTGCATATTTCATGTTATATATTCAAATAGAGCTGAAAAACAAAAAAACAAAACAGAGAGTTAAAGGCAAACGGGTGGCCAGGAACATGGCTTTTTTATTCACTAGGTTTCTCTCCAGATTTCTGTTCTTTTGCATAATGACTCCAATCTGTCCTGCACCTGTAGTTCTGGGAAATGGTTCTTTTTAATCGCTTCAACAGAGGCATGGATGTAGGAATTGCCAATTACTAAGCTTGAAAAACTCCATCCATACACAGAAGAACATTTAATCTACTAACTTTTAAAAAAAACACACCAGCACTCTTTGGGCGTTCGTGGTATTACATAAACATATACATATAACACATGTGTATGTTTAACAAAATTGTGATGTGAAAAAAATATTTTACTGTGGAAACAAGACCAACAGAAGTAAAATGTGTACGTGACACTAGTAAAAATGACATGTAATATTGAGTCTTTGTAAGTAAGTTTTGCACTCTCCCCCTATAAAATATATTTGCTCCTTAATTTGAATGAGCACCAAAAAGATCACACATTGTCCTAAGCCCTACCATACTTCTGGCTTTCTTTTTATAGAATACACTAGAGGCCCAATGCACGTGCAAGAGGCTCCGCCCTCGCAGCTGAGGTGGCTTGCCTCTGCCCTCGCAGTCCTGGCTTTGTCTGGAAGGTCATCTGTAAGGACTTCTGAAGGACATCTGGAAGGTCATTCAGCTTTCCAGTCTAATTAGCATATTACGCTCTTATTATTATAGATATGCACTTATACAAACATAAACTTAGATATGTTTTACTTTACAGACCTTAACCAGTTTTTATTATTTGTAGAGAGGAGCTAACCAAAGTTAAAATATTTGATAAAAATATTCTTACAATGAACAGTTTGAACTTTTACAAGCATTCTTGTCCTCTATTGACAGAGAAATGGGAATGTTTTGAGCATTTTCAAGTAAAAGAAACAAGTATTAATGCTCACCTACATCTTCTGTGTTTGCATGTGTTTCATATAGTAAGACACAATACTCTACTCATAATTCCTAAGAAGTCTATATCAGATAAAGTATTCAACAATTAACCACAAAATGAGGTACACGCACTATTAGCATTGTTTTAGTGAAAATATTGCCTACAGAAATGATTAATGTACATATTTCTTTTAAACATGTGATGCTATGAATTCATATTTTCATACCAGAGGATTTACCAATTAGAAATGGGAAAGCTGTTTAGTGATCCTTCTGAGAACAGATGGTCTAAAGTAAGATTGAACAAAATGGACATTTCATTTGATCATAAAAGAGAAAA